GTATTTTTATAGTGTAGACAGTTGGTTTTCTTATTGTTTTCTCCGACAACGTAATCATTTTTTTAAAATTCAAAGGTTAATGACAACATGATGAAGGATGCTCCCAAATTGTACCCAATCAACACGCCGACAACAAAAGAGGCATTCTACTACCGGCAAATATTTGAACGTTTTTTCCCCAACTGTTCATCATGGACCCCGTACCAGTGGACACCGAAGTGGGTGAATGTTAGCGATCCATCTGCCCGTTCAATGGCACACTACAATAATGCTGTTATTCACCTGAGCAAACAGGCTGATGCTTAGACTCGTGCTACCGCATCAATTCGATTACAACTTCTCTCAAAACAGTCGTCATAACATAATGAAGTTGCTCTAACACAACTTTCTTTCATGTAATCATATTCTTATTACTCAATGTGAAACAAATAAAAAAATGACTCTGGGTGCTTTAACAAGGTTACTAATTAACAGCTCTCTGCTACAACCTCACAGTCAAATGGGTTGTTAGTCCATTTTTTATGCGATGCTTTATATCCGGCTTTCCTTACTTACATGTACATATTGTCCAGGTGAGTACTCATAGGGTACCACCGTTGATGAAGATCATCCTGAAGAAGACCGGATTCTTCTATGGAATTTTTCTTTTTATAAATTTTGAGATCATCCACATACTGAACAATGAAATGATTTAAAGTAGAAATTAACATGTAAATTAAAAAGCAGCGGTCCCAGAATGGAACCACCAGGAACCCCAGATTTTACAAACAAAAAGCAACTTGGATGAGGTAGCATTAATGACAGATCGCTGCTGTCTATTATGATCATAACTAGAAAACCAAAAAAAATAGATTACCAGAAATTCCAAACTGTTTTAATTTCAAAAGTAAGGAGATCGTCCATGGGACACAACAAATGCGTTTGCAGAAGTCTGTGTATTTATGGTGTCACACTGTTTTTTTTTTTTTAAATCATCAATTGCCTTAATAAGAAGTAACCATTAGACTGGCCAGATTGGTCTCGCAAGAAACTGCTGTATGCCTATATTTAGTCATGATGTGACGTTATCACGACCAAATTTGGTAGTCTGGACTGGGCCTTAAATTTGCTAGTGATAAATATGTTTGATATTTTAAGTTTAAAATCAGCTTAATCTGAATCGCCATCTGTTTCATTGAAATTTTGATAAATTATAGTTTAATCTCTAAAGGGCTTTTCAATTGACTTTTTGAGGATCATTTTTAGAATGTATAATGTATCATGTAACTTAATTTGCTTCGATCTGCTGCTTCTCCAAAAGTCTATATTCGCTAATTTTTTTTCGATTAATACTTTTACCATTAATGCTGGTGATGTAATATTTATATTGACGAAGGCAAATATCTACATTACATAACTGTTTAGAGATAATAAATATTTGTTTATTAAATATACTTTAACCAATGAAACATGTTTCGAGTGTTTTTAAATGTTCCAGCAGTACAAGATGTATATTTAATTACTCAAAATAACTTTATTTATGCCTAGTGAATATTGTTTTGCTCAATTCATATCAAATTAAATTACTGTATAGCAGTCAATAGAAAAAAAATACTGTATAGCAGTCATTAGGTATTTTCCTAACTTGACTAAAGTGTACTGTAGTTAAAAATTTGGGCAAAAATAAATTACATCCTTTAAGAACCATCTTTTAAGAGTACCGATATAAGGCAGGGTCGACATATTACAAATGTTCTGTAAAGAGATTAAAAGAAGAAACAATATTGCATTTTAATATATTACATTTAAAAAAGTATTATCCCATGCAAAATACCAAAAAAAAAAAAAAAAAAAAAATTGAAATTCACTTATCAATTTTGAATTAAAATAAAATTATCAACTTGAACATAGAGTAATAGTGCATTAAAAAAATGTTTACCAATGACTTTAAAAGCGAAAATTGATAGAAAAACTTCCAGTCACTGGAAGCGTTTCATTAGTTTTATTATAATTATCCATTTTAAAAATCAGGTATACAATTTTTTAATTTAATTCAATTTATGCTCAAAATGAGAAAGTTAATTTCAAAATAATTTTTTAAATGATTTTTTGTCATTTTCATGGACAGTACATCTTTAATCCTATGATGCTGGCAAATAATTTGCATTGGAGTTGAGTTGAACTCAAACAAGCATACATGTAAATCCTAATAAATCAATTGATATCACATTAAAAAATTAAATGGAAAAAAAATACATTGTTCATTTAAGGTAAAAAGAGTACCATAAACATTACTGAACATAGGGAAATGAGCTGTTACAAGCCCATTGGCATTGTGTGGTAGGGTGCCCAGTTCCTTTCCATGCTACATGTTTAACCTCCCTAGTATAATTTCATCCAGGTACCTATTCTCCTGGGTAGAGAGAAAATTCCTTGCGCTAGGACACAAGGAAAATGCATAGTGAAGGTTCGAACCCCGACCTCAAGATTCCTAAACTCAACCACTGGGCCAACCACTCCTACAAAATTAAAATCAAAAAGATAAAATAAAATATATATTACTTTAAATTATGGTAGACACAGAACGAAAAAAAAAAACACAAGTTCTATCTGATTTTCCATCCCACTTGAGATTGTTTTGGAATTAGTAGATAACTAGACGCTAATAGAAAGTGTATGTTTTATCAGAGTAGCCTACACGTAATATGTATGCACGAGAAGCACATTTTTTTCATGGTAGGATAAGGGGATGACTAGCCACCCTATCCACCCCCCACTAGAGCTGCCACCATAATGGACATCATTCCTATCAACTAATGAAACACAAACATAGGTGGCTATTTTTAGATTGTTACTTCAAGGTTCTTCCATGAACCTCCAGGGCGAGAGTTCATGGTCTGGTGACCACTGCCAGCAAGTTTCCATGCAATACATTAGTGGTATCTTTAGACAGGTGTGAACATAAACTTGCATCCTTGGTGACCTGATTGAACCCTGCCAGGGACGTAAACTCGCGTCCCTGGCAGCGAACATGTTAACACAGATGGTAAAGCTTTAGATTCTATTCATCCGGGTTGTGCCCGGTCTTCAATTGTTGGAAGACATCGGTCAACATTTGATTGCACATTGCCGCATAAGGATTCAACTGGACCACTTGCCCCTTGGCGAACTCGCTGCCTAAATCTGCAGCCTTCTGGAAGTCATCCAACGCTGATTCGTTCTGGCCTTGTAGCCTCCGGATCAATCCCCGTTGAACGTATGCCTGGCGACCTGCTTTTCCTTCACCTTTGCTCAGTAGAATCGCCTTATCCAAGTCTTCCAAAGCACCTGTGTAGAAAAGCAGAAAACAAAGTATCGATTATTGTGTAATTGCATGTCATTTGCTATTTTCATTTTCTATATTTTGGAATTCATATTCTAAATACAGTATATAATACATTATAAGAAAATATAAGAACTATAAGAAAGAAGAAAATAAATTCTATGAATTTGTGAGCTATGAAGCATACAGAAGCTCTCTCCTTTCATTATTGTAACACAATAGAGGGTTTTCACTTCTCAAAATCTAATTTTTGAAAAACTATTCAGGGGAAGATTGGGGGGAGGCAGCCCCCCCAGGGCAGGGCCGGCCACCAAACCCCTCCCCCTACTTTTTGGAAAGTAAAAATAAAAAAAAGACATAATTGATCACACAAAAAACGCCTCAGAGGTTATTTATGGTGGACATTAGGGTGGTGTTGTCTTGTTCGAAAATTTGTTGATAGCATGTAGCAATTTTATTGAAACCCGGCATCACAAAATGTCGACACCTCATACAGAGGGCCTAAGTCTAGGGAGGACCTAGCATTTGAAATATCATGGAGTCAGTGGCGTATCTACAGGAATATGCAGGGGGGGATGCCCCTCCAAAAACTACTCGCGTCCCCCAGTTCCCCCCCCCCAAAAAAAAATCATTTGCAAGTAACCTAAAATCACCATATTTTGCAAGTTAGCGCCCATCAATAGATTGATTGATTGAATTAATTCGGTGTAAACACCAAGGATGGCCCACAAAAGTCTAGAAGACGTCGTATTTCCAGTGGGGTCCTTCTGGTGGTGATTAGGCAGTACACCGGGAGACAATCCCCTACTCTTTTCCGAAGAGTGTACTGCGTTCTTTAACGTGCACATGGGCCATAATGCACACAGGACCAAAGGCTTAAACGTCTCATCCGAAAGACGTTGTGCTATTTTAACTTGTACTTCAGCCCTCTAGCTGAGACACAAGGAGAGGCAGCAATAGGAATTGAACCGGGGACACACCGTACTCCCCCACAAAGCCAAGTATATAACTTACAAGGCAAGCCTCATATGTTACATAGGTGTTCGATCCAATGACTGGGTTAATGAATTGTGTTGACCGATTTTTACCTTTGATGTCACCTTTCAATCGGAAGGCCTGTGCTCGATTATTGTAGCATGATGCCCTCTCTGGCATTACCTGCAAAGCCCTATTGAAAGCATCCAATGCAGCATCGAGGTCACCTTTTTCAGCAGCATGCACGCCCTCAAGTTCAAGTTGCTTTACTTTAGTAACTTCTTCATTTTCTTTGTAAGAATCTAAACAGGGTAGGAAAATATATAAGGAAAATTAAGGCTTGCATAGCAAGAAAAAAAACCCCCAATTCTGTAGTGCCCTGTGGCGGATGCAGGATTTGGCAGTTGGTAGGGGGTGTCTGAAAGTCGACACCACCTCAGCCCCATCATGGTTGGGAATAAGGTGCAAACATTTTTAAAATATAGTCCTCTAGGTGCGTGGAAATTGCACTCTCATACCTTAAAATTCTTACCAAAATTTTTATCAACAATATATTACAACAAATTATTTTCTTAATACAATTGAGGGGGGGGGGGGGGGGGGGGAGTGCGATCGCACCGTCTGCACCCCCTGCATCCACCCCACATGCCTCAATTACACTTTGTCATAAAGCATAGTGCCATATTGCAAGGTAATTGACTCAGTGTTTCAGGTCCACACAGAAAGTAGTGTACTACTTGTTAGTGTATTTTACCGTATTGTGATTCATAAATTATTTGTAATGAGTTAATAATCATAACAGTTCTGAGAATGTGTTAGCAGATTCTTTTGCCCCTGGTTCAATTGGAATTTTTTTTTTTTTTTGTGGGGGGGGGGGGGGAGAGGGAGGGAGATTGTCCCTGGGTTACCATTGCTTGTACATAAAAATTAAGTAATACTGTAGAAATTATCGATACTACACAAATGATTTGATATGATATTGTCGATCGATTGATTCAATTGATTCATCTTGACTTGCTTGAGTGGTTGACTAATGTAAATGTAGAGTACCACAGTCGTGTCGTCACAAAGCCAGGTGGCACTCTCTGTTGTCAACAGACGTTGGTTACCGTATATTATGCCTGAATGACTTCATAGGCTTTCTGGAATAGGCATTTTAAAATCTAATATTTTACCATCAAAATGTACAAAAAACACAAAAACTCGCATTATATTAGTTATTGAACACACATATAATTATCAATTAAAATTTAAAAAGAAAAAGTAAGATACAACATCTTAATAAATAGCTTTTTAAACACTCAGGGGATTAATATCCCACTGTTATGAACTTTGACATTGTAAATTAGCTTTTTCTATTGATTATAAGTTGCTGTATATTCTATACTTCATCATTTGATCTTGAATATGACACCATGAAGGAGTCGAAACGTTGATATTTTTTTTAGTGTTATTTTTATATTAAATCTTAATAATTACCTTAGAAATTGAGATCAATGGGGCGAAAATGACGTCGGGTTGCAACGATAGCAACGGAGGAGTATCACGTGGTATTGTGACGTAAAACTGTATTACTCTATTGATCAGACAATTTCTAGAACAACAACTATTACAGATTTATGTACAACAAACTACAAATCTTTGGAATAATTAATAAATATTGTATTTCAAAGGGAACCTTGAATGAAGACAATAAGAACTTAAAGATCTTGCTTCCTTTAACACCTTTTTTCAAATCTATGACACTTAAGACCACCAGCACACCCCTTCAAGACTTCTAGATACACCACTGAATCTATTTTCATAAATGCTTATTATTATTACATAATTCTCCTTATTCACTCCACTTCTGTGTAATTAAGCATTAATTAAGTTATTTTTTTGGATTGACAATAATTGTACATAAGGTTCCTATATTAGTATATTATCTAATATATTTTTATAAATATTTATTAATTAAAATTACATAATTCTCCCTTTTTAAGGATTTTATTTAAGAATTTTGTAACAGACCTTTCCGGAGTGTCAATCAAACTTAAAAACTGACCAATCAGAACAGCGCCACGAATATGCGCGCTGATAACTCATTCTCTTCTCACGCTGAAGCATTTAATTGTGCGCCACTGATGCTAATGCATTATGTCAGATCATCATCGTCGCTGATTTAACAAAACAATAGACCTTTCTGGAGTGTCAATCAAACTTATCAACTGGCTAATCAGAACAGCGCACGTGTTCGCGTATGTTTTTAACACTGTCATTTTGTGGGACCTTAGCAACAATATCCAAGGGGCGGGGCTTAGTGGAAAGGTTTATTGTAATTTTATTTGATAATAACGTGAGGCTCTATATAAATTTAGAATTATTGAAGATCCGCTTCTTGAGCGGATCACCTCTTGTTATTGTCAGGATCATCATCATCATCTTTTTTTCTTATTCTTCTTTCTTTCTCCCCTTTTTTGTTCGCACGATATCTAAAAATTGCTACGAGGTACGCAGACGATCGCTTCATCGATCATTTTGGCATCGCCTGGAATAGACATGGTAAGGTTTTCAAGGTGACCAATCAATTATAGCTCCTGAGGATGAAAGGTGACCCCCAATTTTTATTACATATTCTGAAAGCACATGAGTTGTAGATATGATTTTATAGATCATTATGGCTGATCGGACATTATGACATCATCCTATTGCCATTTGAATTAAGAAAAAAATGCATCTTATTTAAGACGTCATTATTTTATACTCGTTTGAACATATCTCGCTTAAACTTGATTGATCTTCTCCCACCTGTGAGTATGTTGTAGCTGAGACAATTCTCTTTCGGAAGTGTCCCTTTATTTTTTATTTTGACGATGTCATCATGGTCAAAAAGAATGAATTTTTGGAGCCCTCTTATCTCTCTTCAATTTTGTCAAAAATATTTGACGACAGAGAGGGCGGCAGAGTGTATTTCGACGCTATCAGACTGACAGTCTGGAAAAATTTGTGTGGCATTACCAACGAAGAGGCGTTTTTAAGTTACACTTGACAAGGTTCAATTTCGTGTGCCATTACCGTCCATGCGCACGTCGGTGCGTGTGTGGCAACATTTAGAAATTCTCAATATTACTATTCAGATAATTTAAAGCAAGTTTCAGGACATTTTCAGCATTGCAAAACTTATCCACCATAATTTATCCACCGTACGCTCATTTTTACTCACGCAGCACGTCCTGAAGCTGGAAATTATGGTTTGTTACATTTTTTGGGTTCCTGACACTGTATTCATACTAGAAATTGCAAATTGAAAGTGGAGTGCTGCGAAGTACAACTGTATATAAATGTTCTTCGAACAAAATTATTTATACGAATCAAGTGAAAATAATAATAAAAATATAACAAATAATATGAGACATGACCCATTGTCTATATTAGAACACTTCTCATTGGGTAACAAAGTCGTAATTTTTCATTTTTGTCAAAAAGTGTCTATAGTGATGAATTATGTTTTAGGCTTTTTTTAATAAAGTTTCAAAAATTTCTATGTATGTGGAAAATGTAGTTGATTACCAAAGGTTACAATTTTTATTTTGAAGACTGCATGGTCTAGGAAGTGTACATTTTTTTATGAGGCAAGTTTCCAAGGGCGGGTTTTCTAGGGGCGAGTTGACTGCCAAAGAGTGTTGCCAAAGTGCGAGCCAGCGTGTTTTTTTATCTCAAGTGCGAGATATCACAAGTGTGAGCCAGCGAGCCATGACGTCACGACAATAGATACGAGACTTTAACGAATTGTGCGAGGTATCGACTGAGATTTGTGGAGTACAATTCAAAAAACAACTAATAATGAATTATTGTGATGTTAAATAGACAATTTTAGCTATCAAGGAGCGACGTTGTTTTTCATTCGGACCTTCGTCCCTTCAAGGCTAGGCCTATACCATCCTAGCTAGTCTAGGCCTAGAGTAGGATAAGGCTAGCCTAGACTACTCCTAGCGCTATCAAGACGAGTCCGAGTTTACACCTTACCTCTTCCACATGCAATGTTGTGGTCCAGAAATCAAATTAGCAAAAATATTTTAAAATATAGAAGCATAACATATTTAAAATACATAAAAGTCTATTTAGATGGGTCAACAATTTGTGATACATTTTCAAAAATGGAGTACAGTACTAATCAAACTTTATTACAGTATCCATTGTAGACTATTATTACAGTAAAGGGGTGTATAAAGTTGGAAATGTCACTTTTTTTTTAAATCTACCCCCTCCCCATAAAAAACATTTTGGGAACAGTAAATGTCCTGCAGTGTTTATTAAAATAAAATTATGGTACAGTACAAATTATAGTTTTCTGATTGTAATATAAATGCCAAATTTCATATAAAAACAAAGGTACATCGATGATGAAATAGGATGATGAAATAATAAAAAAGTTAAGATTCTGCCTGTTTTAGTACAAAATGTTTTGTTGACATAAAAAATAGAATTACAATTTGAACATGAAATTTAACTTTTAGGTCTTGAATATTTAATATTTCAAATATTTGTCTATGTTTTATCGAGGGACCTTAATGATCAATTCCTGCAGGAACTGGATAGGTCACCCTCTTTAAAACATCTCGAGCTGACGTAGAAACATAGTAAAAATGAGCGTTGGTACCATGTATGCCAGTCTACAACAAGCGTCGCCTAAATGTAATAATTAGCATGCTGAAATAGGCTAGTAAATAAGTTTAACTGGGTTCGTAAATATTATTGGCCTCAAAATATTGTGGCTGAGACATGGGCCGATTAAACGTAGAAATAGGAAACCTAGAAATATAATAAAAACGCTGAATAGTAATACTCGAGCGTCGCGACATGGGGACGTTGGTACGTGTAGGTTAGTCTACAAACGTTGCCTAAAGTAATTGATTTTACCCGGCAGAACGAAAGAAGGAAACTCCGCTTTTCAGTCGTCTTAGGCCCTTGTTTTTTGACAAACAATGACCTTTCAGACGTCAATTGCTGTCAAGAATATGAATTGGCTGCTTTGCAGCAATAAGGAGTTAACTTTGTGTGCCATTAACATGTGCACAGGCGTCAAGTCTGCGTACGCAAGCGTGAATCTTTTAAAATGTTTTAAATTACAATTTTTAATAATCTAACTAGAGCATATTTTATAGGCCATTTTAAAAATTTGAAAACATTTCAATCTGCACCGCTCACGCTTCCTGAAGGTCAAAGTGCGGCGGATCACCAAACTCGTCCTCAGTGACGAGTTCAAATCTAGTTATTATTATTATTTATGTTTGAATTCAATCATTTTGGGTGTAAATGCTTTGGATTTTTGTGTGTTTAGTTGTTTTAATTCATTGTTTCTTTGTAAATTCAGTAATTTCAGCCTTGTGCTACTGTACTGACTGCATTTTTTATGTCTTTATACCTGAACAACATAACAATAATAATTGGAAAGCATGAAGTAAAAATGCACTGTCAAACTTTAGACCAGGATGTATAGATTGTAGTATAGTACAGTTAATAGTTTGGAGACAAATATCTCTATTACAGCTAGTGTTGTTGTTCAGATATAGCATAAATAATAATGCTGGTACCATGAAATTTGAAAAAAAAAAAAAAAGAAAGAAAAAAACCCATCAATATGATGAGCAAAAGACATTTTTAGAACATATAATACACAAAAAATATGTAAAACTCTAAAGTATTTCCACAGATAACTGTAATATCTGTGAAAAAAAAAATTGAAAAACCTCCAATTGAAAAGACAACCTTCTCAAAAAAAAAAGCAAAGTTAACAAAAAAAAAAAGAAGAATGAAGCAGAATTACGAAGTGTTCACAATTCATTAAAAAAAGTCTGGGTTATGAAATGAAAATTCCACGTTAACAAACACCCCCCCCCCCCATACCCTGGAAATGTCATGATTACGAAATTCAGGGGTTATGAAAAGTCTGCGGGAGAGTTACGAAATTACCGCGGCTATTACTATTAGAGTAACAGTCTTAGACATGGGGCCAGATTTATCGAACTAGAAATCACTTAAATTCGTCTTACAGTAAGTCCATTTTTTTGCTTTTAGTCAAATTTATCCATATTGCTTAGCTTAGAAATTGCTTAAAATTAGAAAGTCGATTGTACGTTGGCGATTGTACGATTTTTACGCCAAGATTTTGCTAAGATTTGGTAACAAATTTATTAGGGACATTTTAACTTTTTTAACTTAAGACATTTGCTAAGCCGAGATTGATAAATCCCGGGCCTGGCCTGCAAATCACCACAATATCCTTAATACCTAGGTAGTGAGGCCCATAAAAATAGTCTACTGTATCATGTATGTTACGTAGCAATTTTATGGACTATAGATAGGCATTACCAAAATGTGCTAATGTTGACATCTCATCATACCGCCTGGCCATAGGGAAGCTAAGAAGCCAGTCTAGGCTAGGCCTTTACAGGCAACCAGGAAGAGCTAGGCCTAGTCATGATAGCCTGACTAAGCCTAGCTAGGCCCCTAGGCCTAACTTAGGCTAAGCACGATTCCGTAATTCGGCCTCTGAACCGCATTGCCCACGGTCCACGCACTTGTTTGATACCACATTTGTTATATACGTACCTGATTTATCCTGCACTATAACGTCTTCTGTCTGTTTAGTGGAAACTGGCAACAGGGGATTAAATATGGCATTTAAAACAGCTTCGTCACGAACAGAAGGCATGCTATTAATCAGTACTGCTATAATAAATAATGTAATTTAATAATAAATCATCAACAGAATTTAGAAATAACTGTAAGTAGGGGTGACCTACCGTATGTCGATTGTTGACCGTCGATATCAATTGGATTCTTCGACTCACATTTCCGTTATTAGTTATTCGGTTGCCCACATGCGCACTATGAAATTTGAAGTTCAACAAAAGGGGAGAAAAACATTAAAACTACATCACAAACACATAAAAAAATAGAATAAATCTACTATTCAATTTAATTTAACATTAAGTTATGCATTCAACTACAAAAATAAATAATTCGCTAATTTAAAATATATATGACATTGTATTTACAATTTAATTAAAACAGTGTGAAAATAAAATCAGTAAGACAACTCGGACCATGGACCTATTTAATAGGTCCATGCTCGGACCGACACCTAAAACCCAACCAAAAACCGCTCGCGAAAAATAAAGAATATTAAAAAAAAGGAGAAAAAGAAACTACACACAGTGAATTTGTTTTTTAATAGTGTAGACTCAGAATAAGTTCCTTTTCGACCGTGAGATCTTGGTGAGATCCGCCTGGCTGCCACTATTAAAAAACAAAGCTTTTTATCTAACACAAGGATTAATATCCCACTGTTATTTTTATATTAAATATTTATACAAAACGTACTCTTATTAGTACTTTATGTTGTAGTATGTATTATATTTTGTGTCTGCAATAAAGTTTGTAATAATAAAAGGTACTACAGTATATAAATTACCAGTCGAATACAACCACATTACGGTGTTCGGTCAAGCGAAGAAAACAAAACAATAACAAATAATATTTATAGTAGATCATTCAATCTACTGAACAAAAACTTAGGAAGAACCAAAATAAAAGGTAAATTAAACTTTATTTGTGTTAATTACATTTTATATATGAAATTTTCAAATTTTTATTGGCGATTTTGTTCTTTTTTCTTTATCACGTTACTGACGCCAACGAATCAGAAGGGATAGGCTATTTTTAGATGAGATCGTCACAGAGTGCGCATGCCATCCAGGTAATTGTGGAGGTTTGCTACTCATCTATAAAAGTCAGAATATTTTACGTATGTAAGGTAGGGTAACTTATTTATTTCGAAAATGTAAACCAGTAGTAATCTATGTAAACTATGCATATTTTGGTTTTTGGTAATTAGCTTCCTATTTGGAGTGTTTTACCATAATTATGTGGAAGTCAGCTAGCACGTGGCGTAACGTTAGATGATCGTATTTTGAATGGCGCTTGCCCGGGGATTTCCATAATATACCGTATTACCGAACGTCAGCATAATTTTTCATCAGCCTAGCGATGGAAGATTTGTCAGCCTAGAGGCCTATTCGCTTAGAAATATTTGTTTAAATATATGTTTGAGCAATCAGAAATATAGATGACGCTTGTGATGAAATATTGATTGTGACGGGTTGGTACTTAATTATTTATATTAGGCCTAGTCTAGGCCTATATACACATGTTGTTATATTTATATTAGGGCTAAGCCTAGGTCTAGCCTACTAGGGCCTAGATAGTAGGCCGTAGGCCCTATACCTATTCCAACCTTGGGAGTAGGTCTGTGCCTGTGGCTTTGACAAAACTATAGGCTAGCACGGAGACCTAGGCAATATCTGAGTAGCTAGGCTAGGCCAAAGGCCAAAATGTTTGTGTACAACCTGGGTTTTTTACCCAAAAATTTATTGATCTGTACAATTTTCTTTGTTTCTTTAATTTTAGAAAAAATGTCAGATGATAAATCAACACCACCTAGTAATTTCCATGTCCTCTGGAACCACCTAAATGTAGTCACAAACAATGGGTAAGATTTCTTTGTTTTCAGTTAAAATATTAAAAATGTTCATATCAGTGCATGTTGTAGTCTAGAGTTGTTATTATTTAGAGAATTTTTAATTATTTTAAAAATAATTTCTCAAGTGATTTGCCTTATCCAAGACCAAGATCGAATTAAAACAATGTTATGCTATACAATTAATTAGGACTTTTTTTTACATTATAATATGATAATTATAATAATTTTGTTATTCTGAATGTTTTCATAAGAAAGTTTAAAAGTAACAATATCTCTTATATTAAAAAAACCTTTACATTTTATTAATTAACATCAATTCATTTTTTGACAATTATGAATAATATTTTATTGCCTGTGTTTTCTAATATTATTTTTATTTGGCTTCAAAAGTTGATATATTAGCAATGTTTATTTTTTTCAATTTGAATTTAAATTGATTGTTATTTGGTTTAAAGGACGGAAACATCCACACATTGTGAGCCCATCCAGTATAATTATAGTGAATTTGCAGAGTTAAATAACTGTTTGGAGGAGAACCTGGAATTAAATGCGGAAATTTATGACATCCAGCCCAATTTCTTGAATTCACTCATGTCTAACACCGACTCGCAGGGCTTTTTAACACCGGTATGTATAATTTTGAATATATAATGAGCAATGCAAATAAGCCAATTAATAATTTGAACTGCACATGCCCGTATCAGGATGAATCGATATAAACAAATTATAAAAACAATAAGAAAACAATTTACAATCATTGAAGCAACTTGAGGAACACAAATTTATTGAAATACTGTATAACAAACATAACCATAATGTGGATTATTGTATACATGCATTGTCAGGATGATAAATTCTGGGATTTTTGAGATTTTAACCAATGATTTGATACTGAAAAGCAAGCATCTTAACATCATTTTAACTATATTTTGTATCTAAATAATTTTTCCCAATTTTTTTTTTAAGAATTAAAAAAAAAAATTATAATAATGTTTTTAATAACATTGTGTCAAAGTGATATTTTCTATAATTTTAATTAACTCTTGTGTTTTACTTACTATTTGTATTAAAAAAATTATTATTTTTAGCAATATTTAAAAAAAATATTCTATATTACAAAAATAGGCCCAGCAGGTATTTTTTACTGGATAAGTTGCATCATTATAATTATGCGCATAGTTAGGTCCTAGACATGTCTGTCTGAATCATGTTATGTCTCAAGATACGTAGCTTTCTACTTGACTGCACTCACAATGCGATATCTCATTTATTGCTGGAACCTGGATGCTGTAATGTAGTTGGCATCTGCTCTATAGACATAATGTCAAAATAATGTCAAGCATAATTTTTAAAAATTACCCTGTCAGTCAGTAAAAAATTGTGTTATGATACATAGAAAATATATATTTTATGGTACATGCAAGGTTCATGCTTTACTTTTAAGTTTCTATTATATAATCCTATAAAGTTCTTTTATAATTATTTATTTATAGTGATGATTCATCATAACCTATAACCTCTTTATTTACACCGCCTATATTTAAACCTGCTGTAAAATGGATTCTGCCAAACAGGTCCAGACTTGTCTGATAAAGTCACATCCCTTGAATTTGAATTGTCCTCCCTGTAGCTAAAATAGAATAACCCAGGCCTGCCTGAGCTTGTTGCTATTGTGGCTAGAGATTGGCTGAGATAGGTGTCTCGGCCTTTGAAAGTTAATACACTGATAGGAAGCATATGCAATAATCTGCTATTTTGGTCATCCAACAAAATAATTATTTGACATTTATCCAACTATTGAGAAATACGATGAATCACTGGTTAGTTTTTGGGGCTGCTTAAGAATTTTTATTTCATCTGTCATGCGAAACACGTCCGTAATAAAAACACAACATTTCTGGGACACTTCTGGAATAAATTCTCAACAGTTGAACGTAGTTTTTTCATAGTTTCGTAACGCAGCACTTATGAAACACCACGTGATAAATCAAGTAAGTGGGGTTTTTTTATTGTTAAGTCCGTCCGGTCCCGCTCATTTTACCACGAGGTGTCAAGTTAGGTACAAGTGTTATAGTAAGTAGGTCGTATTGCAACAGATTAGTTGGTAGTGGGACTGAATACTCAAAGAATGGTGAGTGTTATTAACTTGCATGTTATGGCCCTTCTCTTACTAGGCCTAGACTATTTATTTAACAATAATATTTAGAATTTTTTTTTAATTCACATGTTCATTTTTTTTCCTTTTTGTAAATTGCTTTATGAAAAAGAACACTTATTGGCTTCAGTGACAAAACAATAATAAGTCATAATTTATTTAATAATCTACCAAGCAAATTTTTTGACATAACTTTACTTAAATATATTGATTCAATTAATGAAATAACAAATAACTTATTTAACTGTAAATGCTCCAATCAAAAAGCTTATCTCAACCAAATAACAATTTTAATGAATGATATCATCCTAATATGTTTACTGTACATTAAATGTTTGTATATAAAAAATATATTTTATCTTGTTTTTTTTAGTACATATTTAAAATAAACCTGAAATAACCCCAGTAATGACAAAAATCTGTAACCCAAGTTACAACACTTGCAGATGTGTTCCTTTTGCAGGCGATACATTCCGGTATTACACTGACAGATTTTATTATAATTTTGTCATATTTCATGGCCTCCAAATGTTTTAGAAATGTTTTTTACCATCATTTTTTATTGGATATTTATTTGTAAACATTTTTTTAAGTTTAACAATATGTTGTTAAAGAAATTTATAGATCAAATTAAATAAATTTGTATTAATGGTAGGCAAGAAAATAAAAATTATCAACTCACTAATTTTGTGTGTTTGTTTATATTATTTTTTGTATTTATTGGAGTTGAAAGAAATTAGTCATTTTTGGTTATAAGCAGGATCTTATAAGAATTTTATCTTGCTTCATAAATATTTTGGTTTGCATAATTCTTGGAGATAAGCCAACATTTTCGTTATCTTGACGTTTCGGCTGCTACATCAGCTAAACTTGATGGCATTTTATGGCAACCAGTAGTGGCCGGTTTCTTGTATAATTGCTTACTATTCTAAAATTATGGCTAAAATATTATGTTTGTTCAGCTTCAAATAATTCTTTCAATACAATAAAAGTACATAGTATAGTCATGGTATAGTAGTAGGCCTAAAAAAATGTAAAAAAATAAAAATATAATAAATAAAAATATAATAAATATAATTTTCTTGTGATGCAATGGTACACTTGGCACTACTCTGACATTCATTATAAAAACATCTTAATTCTTGAATCTTAAAAAGTATGAAGATGATATTTCTGTAGACATATTTGTCTGTAGTAGGAAAGATCAATAAATTGTATTGTATTATACTTACTTTCAAACATTCAATTGTGATTCAATCAAATACATCTACACTGAGGCGTTGGATAATATAATTTGATTCATTTTCTTCCTTCCTAGCCTTCCAACATGAATGTAGTTCCTGTGGGTCCACCAATGCCTGCGGACAATGCAGGTAACTTTCAACAAGATGCCATACCCCCACCCCCATTCTCACCGTGTGGTGCTGCATCGCAACCAATTCCATCAAAGTATGCTTTACAGTTATTTATTCTGTTAGGAAGATTGACAGGTTGTGCCCTGGTGGCACAAGCTTAGCCAGCGAGCCGTCAGGCCGTCTTTTGGACAGCCTACGATTATTTAGGACGGCCACTTTAACTTGACGGCTTGGACGGCTTGGCGTAATCAACTCGGCCTAGCCTAATTGGGCCTGGTCTACCTTTAGCAAATTCTTTATATTCTTCAAATCTATCGAATGTTAAATTAAACTAAAGCTAAATCAAATCTAAGTTTGATAAAAAACAACATTTATTTATTGAATATACGTTGTTTTCGTACCATTATTCAGTGGGATTCCCAAAGATGGGTCTGACCTGCCTATCGGCTCAGTGCCACACCCACTAGCTTCTATTTTGGACGGCCTATTTCGTTTTTCTGGCTAAACCCCTGCCTGGTGGTCATACTGTTGATAAAGAAAGAGAATTTCTAGAACACGTAGTTACCAATAGTGATGAGTCAGCAATGAGTAGGCCAGGCATAATGTATGATTCATTATAGCTTCAGTAGATATAAAACATAAACATACCAACTAAAATATATTGTAATCTTAGGCTTAACTGGAGTGCAATTTTATGCTCAGGTAAAATGTTTATCATACTGTTAAATTAGATTGGTAAATGCCTAGCTGCAAGGTGGATATTTAATAAAGAAAATTGGTTTTTTTTTAAAGTTTACAATTTTTTGCATGACTTTTTCAGGTGAAATTTCGAGAATGACATCTAAAAAAAATTGAGTTTAAAATGAATATAATTAACTTCTTACAGTACGGAATATCCTGGAGACTACAACTTTCAGATATACATGGGACAACATGCGCAGATAGTTGCCAAGAGCGCAAACTGGACGGTAAGTTACTGTAACCCCACAGAAAGACAACACACATGAAATGCCTAGGTGGCGCAACGATTTTTCCGATGGGGGATCCGATGCCCACAACGAAAGCAAAGTGGACGTGGCTGGGCGTCGCTCAATATTTTTTAAAAAGTGTTCCAGATGGTGAAGACCAAAGAAATATGACAATTTATGAGTTTCAAATGCTTATTTAGTTGATTTTAGAGCCTACTAATATGTAGAAAATACATATAAAATTTTTTGGCTCCCCCAACAACTGGTGGTTTCTCCCCTCGACGAGGAAAACTGCCCCTCCCCCTCCCAAAAAAAAAAATGCCTGGAATACATACTAAAAAGTATATTTAACTATATTAAATACAGCTTATTTTTTAAAACTTGCTACAAGCAACTTACATTTACACAAATGTGGTCTGTAGAAGAAGGCATGACGGGGTTCTCCCTAACTTCTTTGTATTTATTTGTTTGTTTTATACCTAAATATTCGGTTGATCACTGATCATCTTTTTTTCATAGTACTCGTCAAAGCTGAACAAACTCTATGCAGACAAAGACAAGTCTTTTCCTATACAATTTAAAACGGAAACCAAACCCCAAGAGCAATGTTTCATTCGTGCGACACCAGTATTCAAGAAGCCAGGGCATGTGCAAGAAGTGGTCAAACGATGCCCTAACCACACAGGCGAAGATACAAAGGGTATAATGATCATTTGGACTGGAACAAAGTTTAATACCATTGATAAAAAGTTATTTCAAGGTTCAAATTTCCCCGACAGCAATTGCTGTAGAAAAGGCCTGCCGCTGCTGTTGTGTATCCCAGGCTTAACAGCAAGCTTTTTGCTGTCAATTTGCCTAGCTCAGGCCTAGGTTTAGCAACAGGTTTTACACTTAAGAACAATAAAAACTGTTGAATGTAGATGAACAGTGGCAGATTCAATGGGGCCCAGTTAGTTTATAATTTAAAGATGTATAAAAAAACAAATACAACATGGTTTTATTTCGTTAAAGCAATGTATTCTATTTTCCTCGTTGTTAGATGGTTGGGACTCCTCTCGATGCGAAGAGGAGGGAGGGAGTCCTGGTAAGATGATTATAGTCGTCTATGTAAAAATATGCTAAGTTTCTGTTGTTTTTTTTTTATATATATATAGAACCATCTGGTAAGCACTTACTCATATGTCAACATCAGCAGGCCGAGTATGCTCAAGATGCTGGAACTGGTAGGCTAAGCGTACTCATACCGTATGATGAGCCACAAGTCGGCACCGAGTTTACCACCTACTTATTTATATTCAAGTGTACCATTTCCTGTGTGGGTGGAATGAACAGACGGCCGGCAATGCTAATCTTCACTCTCGAGAACAAAAAGTAATTCATTTTTTCTAATTTGCTCATTATGTACTATAATAGTAAATAATAAGTATAATTTATAGGTAATTATTTATTATAATTATTGTTACTTAATTAAAACTTTGTTTCTTTTTCAGTGGGGCTACACTAGGAAGAAGGGTGATAGAAATTAGGCCATGTGCTTGTCCAGGTCGAGACAGAAAGAACGATGAGGCAGAATGCGGTAAAGAGAAGAGGTTAAAAGAGAAACCAACCAAAAAAAGTAAGTTAACTGTTCTTCATTGCTTTAGCTTTAAATAAGGATTAATATGTGGTAATGGTGGTGAAAGCCATGTGGTGACTATAACAGTGTACATATAAAATTGTGAACAAGATACATGATGCAAAGATACAGTAGAACCCCTCCTTTAGCACACCGCTATTAGGGAACATCCCTATTTAGGGGACACACATAATTAAGGGGATGCTTTTTTTTGCCACAAAATGAATGAAAGTATATCTTTTAACACTATTCAGGGGACACCCCTAGTAAGGGGAGACTTTATTGGTCCTGAAGTTGTCACCTTGATAGGGTTCTGGATAATGTAACATATGTTTCGCATAATGCAATTAACATAGTGCATAGGTACACACATCATACATATTGTTCATGACACAGCACCAATACCCAATAAATATTTTTCGTCATGAGTCACTGCGCCTTGAATAGCATGCTAGATGGATGAGGCATTATAATTGCTGTTTTATTATTATCTGTTTTTGTGAAGTTATCAAGTCCTTGATTTTATTCTTTTAAGCGAAAGTGACTGCTCAGTCAACTACAATTTCTCAAGTTGGCGCCAAGAAACGAAAGCTGAACACAGATGATGAGATCTTCACGTTAACGGTAAATAATTAACACAAACATCAATAGTATGAAGGCGTCCCAAGTCTTCTGGTAGTCGCGAGTGTTTCTCAGAAATCGGGATGGCCTCCTGCACTCCCAGAAGCAAAAATCCTCCGTTATCTAACCCATCTCCTTCAAATTTATAATATTTTTTATAGTTTTTAACTATTATAAATACAGTGTGCACATGAGCCAATTGTGTACACGAGGCCCACATGACCATATTTAGGCACGTCATGACTATATATTGACCTACCAGCGTTTGTTTTTTTTTTGTCTAGACAGAGCTTAAGATGGCAAGCTAAGGCTCTTTGGCTGTTATGTAGCCCCAATTACTGTAATTTATGACTTGGATGTCTAATGCCTAATCATGGTTTAAATAAGTCATGAAAATACATCAGAAAAAAAATAAAGCCGTGGATAATGGATGTGTCCGGTTTTTTTTTTTTTGTCTTCATCAAATTATTGTGCTACATGATAGTAATAATAGACCTTTCCGGAGTGTCAATTAAACTTCACAACTGACTAATCAGAACAGCGCTAGGAATACGCGCGCGTCTCACAAACACACGTGTTGTCCCACAAACGCACGTGTTTGCGTATGTTTTAACACTGTCGCCTTGTGGGACCTTAGCAACAATATCCAAGGGGCGGGGCTTAGCGGAAAGGTCCATTAAGAAGATGCTACACGTTTAATATGTCATGCCATTTCTGATACTCAGGCCATTACAAAGTGTCTTTTTCTGGCCTAAAACATTTTTTTATTGTTTGTTTTTAACTGTAGAGGGTAAAATGTTGTGTAGAATCCCTATCAAGTATGTGTATTTTGTTTTTTCCAGATCCGTGGGAGGGAGAATTATGAGATGTTGAGGAAGATCAACGAGGCGTTGGAGATAATGAGGAACATTCCACCGGAGTACCGAAAATCGTCACGAGACATTCAGGCGCATCTGAAGAGAGAGTATGTATCACTGAAACACTTGACATGTTTCCAAAAAACCGGGACAAAGTCAGAAAATTACAAAAAATGTATCTATAGTTAAGTAGCTTGAAATGGTATATAACTTTTATTGGGGATATTATTTCATAATTAGCAGTTGGTCTTTGAAGTATTGGCATTTGTAACATAATCGAGAAAAACAATTAAAAGTTTTATATGCTTGCATAAGTTGCACAGCTTATATA